ATCGATTATTTGACGTTAAATTGAAAATATCAGTTGACTGAAGCAGTTGAAATCTAAAGGTTGTAACGAAGAACGAAAATTTACAGTCAAGTGAAACCAAAGATAAAACAACATTGCTGTTATTCCAAACGCTGGCCTGGTGACTAATTTTTCTTGAACCACTGAATTGAAAAGACTTGTGTTTAAAGATGAACCAATCTGAACTTCGAAAGGTCTCATTTATTCGTCTTAACGTCGCGCAGTCCTCGTTAGGACTGTTGTGTCAGTGAATCGTCTTTGGAAATAGCATCGTTAAACTGATTTGTAATCATTTAGCTTGCTCGAGATAGCTGTTTCCTTCATCTACTTCATAATCTGTAGCTGAGGAGCTTCCACTAGTGTTCAGCTTATAAACGAATCTGTACTAATCGCACCACGTCATCAGCTGCAACGATTACTTTGGCAATGGATTGTAATCCAATGCGTTTGGGATTGAGTCGTTCCATTACCTGATGAGGATCCATCTGTATCTTATCATGGTACTGTAGCTCACGGCGATCTGCGTTCTGGAGCATACAGTGTCTGATTGATGTTTTGGGTGTACATTGTCAATATTTGATTAAAGCATGCAAACTTAACAGAAAGTGCAAAAAAACTTGTGCCTGCAAAAGAATAGTATTGCTTATGTAATTTTGCCAATTAACTATCATATGTATTGACATCTGCGTCATTGAGTTGTCGTTCTGGGCTTTTTTCAGCCCGCATGCATGCTGTATCACAGTGTTGGAAGGGGTACAGGTGAGTTTCTTTTTGAATGCATGTTGCATGATTATTCCAAATATTGTTAGGCTAATGAAAGTACTATAACGTAGGGAAGTTCGTCCTGCCAAGAATGTAAGATTACCATTTGCCAATGTATGGCTTAATTGGCTACTGCCATGGCGGAAAGGTTTAGTTGGACTGACTGAGTACCCACAATTTTTACTTTTCAGTTGCAAGTAGATTTGTTGCACCTAATGGACTTGTTGTATCCCTGAGCATTAAGAGAAATGCCAATTTTAACAGTTATTTTGCATGCTGAGACCGTCAGATAGTAAAAACCACCTGTCACATTACTGTTTAAGACAACCTTTTGTTGATTCCAACTCGGTATAATATCAGGCAGAAATCTTTAACCTCGCCTCCCTGCTTCATAGGGCCATCATCTTTCTTAGCATTAGCACCGTTGAACAGTTTTTCGGCGCAAAAGCGAATTCGTATGTTAGACGAATATTTCCTGTAGCCTGATTGGAATTTGTAGTATGCGTAGTTGTTTCTCACATCCTGTTCAAAACGGTATTGGCGCTTCTCAACATTTTAGGGCTTTCCACATTGCTGGATAATTGTCGAATTAAGCTAGATGAAAGTGTGAGACGCAGATGACAGAAATGCGATGTTGTGAAATTTAAACGATTTTGCCCTAATAGCCGCGTTATTGACCCCTGTGTGCACTTATGTTTGTTCCTTCCCCTCCGTGACCATTATTATGGTCCATAACATTGCGTCAGTTTCGTCTTCATCATTCCTCACGATGCTCATCGCTTGAGACTTCGTTGCTTGGTATGTATTCTCTAGGTCATTTGTATCTTCATGGACCATTAAAATTACGTGCATTAATGAGTGCTGACAGAGGGCCACATTTATTAAGGCGACATTTTTCCGAAATATCTGATCGTTTCTCCATATGCAATAGTGTATCATATTTCTTACAATATTGACTGCTCAATTATGTGACGCTGCTCTCATGATAATTAGACGTGCACGGTTGCCACCAGCACCATTATGCAAATGATCCATAGCGCCTACAGCATTTTTTGGGCACTACTGCCAGTTCTGATATGAGGATGAGGGAGGAATATGCATTTGTGGTCGGTTTTTTAAAATCACTGGCTTATTACGTAACTTATTAGGAATGTTTGCGACGATACCGTTGCCAGCTAATTTATGTTTTGGTGGATCACGCTCATCAGGTAACTATAAAGTGGATGCACTGCTGGCAGATTATTCGACGGCGTCGTATG